ACGCGTTTCAACGAAAAGGCTGAGAAGGCTTCAAACAGTGTGCACGCTCCTTCTCGCCGACACGCCCCTATCAAGTGCAAGGATGACGACTGTACTTGAATGAAGGGCCCTTTAGCATGTACCAAACCAAGCTTACACCCTATTGCTCCTATCGCACAATACTTATTTCATGCTCAGAGGAAGTCTAATGAGTGTTTCATTTGCAGCTTTATTTTTTGTCTATGCTGTGAACACACGACACAGAGATGTCTTTCTAAGCTCGATAAACACGAATGATCTTCGTCTAGGAATTGCTGACGTGACATCTATTTCACTATGCTGTTTATTTCGCATTAAGAGCGAAATCGGTGGCTTAAGCCCGCGATTCGAGGTTTTGATTCGGATTGCTGGTATAATTGCTTGCTCATCTTTTGCGGCCTATATGGTTGGAAATATGCTCATCGCAGTCAATCGATACTCTGCACTACGCCTGAAAGATCGATATGAAGAGGTTAGTGGCTTCATCACGATCATTTAACAACTGGAGTCCTCCAAACTGGGTTCCGAAGCGATAGTCAAAGTTTACTGACCGAGTGTTCGAATAGTCAAAACTGCACGCATTGAACGATCGCATAACTGCCTTTTTTTGGAGGAACGATTTGATCTGGTTGTATGGACAGAGGCATCCAACCATAGTGCCGTTCTCTTTGGCAATTCCGTACTCTTACCAGCCTCAGAGGGAGGGGCTCTTCAAACGGAGGGGCACAGTGATCAAAAGTCTTCTCCCAACGATAAGCATGGAATGCGCTTCGTTAAGGTTTGGAGCCGAAGAAATGTATGGATTATAATAGGACTACAATATGGCTGTGCCTTTGCAGCTTTCACTCCGCTATTCGAAGCAGAGCACATATTTCTCCAAAATGCTGATGGAACTTATGGGTGTGGATAGACGTAGCGATCTGGTCAGTTTTGTTACGATCTTGCCTTCTTAATAAAAGAAGGATCCAAAGTCGTAATGGTCTTTCCAACGCTGATCTAGAGCCTGTTGTCTATACCTGTGGAGACTTCTCTGAGCGGACTTATGAAGGCTTTGTTGCACGCACTGTCCTACATTCAGGCGCATGGAATCGCGCTTTTATTTAGTGTACCGAAAAACCTCAACCATAGCAAAGCAATCATTGTGTAGACAACGTTCACATTTTTCCTAATCTTGGCAAGAATGATTAGTATGAATAGTTTAATGTAACAGTGGTGTTGTTCACCTCATAAGCAACACGGCCCGCTCGCCTTCATAACAGATGCAGTTTTGTTTGCTGCGAAGCGTTTTAGGAGGACAGGTTTAGCCAGGGCCAGCATGGGTGCCAAAAATTTGGCAGGTGACCCGTGATTGGTGCAGAACAGGTGCCGGTCTCAGTTCTCCCTGCAGTACATGTCTTCAACGAAAAAAGTTGTAGGGGTACCGTGCAAGGTCAAAAGGTACCAGGTTTCTGTGAATTTGCAGGAAATTCAATATTCCACGAAACTGTGGGTACGCTCACAGGAAATCACAAAATATCACCTATCAGCGGTCTCACACCCACAATGAATGGCGAGCAACAACTACGTCCTGCCTACATTACCTTAGGTAGGGGGGGAAGGGTGATGATGTTTAGTTGTATATAGCCCGCGCTTAGTATAATTTTATACAGTTTTTTCCAATCAACCCATCATGTTACATCATCCCGTTTTGCTGGTGAACCCAACTTCGTTGTCACATCCGCTTCGCGTTCCCAAATGTACTGTGATGCTTTGTAGCTTTATTACTATTATTGTAGCTTTATTATTATACTACTGTCCGAGATTAGACCCCTTACTTGATATTGTGTTTTTATAGTATTATTGGATAAATGACGTTATGGTCAGTAACCACCGTTCTCTCTGCTGATATTCAACAAGGAACTCCGCCGGGACATATACAACTTCTTTCGATGTCAAAGATATCAGCGCAGCACGTCGTCTCCGTTCTCTGCGTGTGAAAACCAGCACTCCTCCTCCGACTTTAAAAATTCCATGGTCGTCGGAACTTTGTTCGCTTTAAAATGTTGGGGAAATGTTTGAGACAACAACATTGGAGGTTGTGAACGTCAGGAGTGGAGGCAGCACCCTCTGTAACCACATGTTTTGGCTATTCTGTCGAAGGGTGAAGTGGAGAGCGAAAGAGGGAATGTTCCAAAACACGTGGCCCATTTTTGGTCAAAAAGTGCAGGCATGCATAGCCCCGGTGGGAGGTGACTCTATTGAGACACAGCGTTCAAATTTGTATTGTAGGGGATATTCCAACTCATCCCTGGGAGGGCAATGCAATTAAACACACAATTTCATGATGAAAGCTACCGTAATGGCTGCTTCCCATTCGCTTTCATGCTCAAAGTCGGCACAAACCCTTAAGGCCAACTCGTTCTTTGTCCACAACGTCACCACTAGCCCCACATCAGGTGGAGGATATCCGTGATACCTTCATAATAGGTGTTGGGCTGCGTTCTCGCTTCGCGAATAGAACGGCGCGTAATTAGGGAAAGCGCGCTCAGGAAGGAGGGAGCTTAGCGCAACTGCGATCGGCCGCGCTCTATCTCTGGTATTTGCATTGTTACAGTGGTCTCGAATCTTCTTTCTTAAGCGACTGGAGCAGCATTCAAAAAGCTTCGCCATCCCAAGTGGTCATTCACGACAGCCCCCCCCCCTCCCCCTGCGCTGGGGAACCCCAAAAATGCCCGCTGCCTGAGCTACACACGAACCCCTTGACTTCATGGAATGAAAAATCCACAAGGTGCGATATTTGATTGCTCACTGTGTGGGAGATGTAGAAATTTCTATACTGTTACGAAAATCCCCACAATTTTCGAAATAATATAGGTCCTTCTCAGCAAAACCAAAATCTCCTCCCTTCCGGGAAAACTTATTTACGATCTTGCTGGGATTATTCAACTACACTGTGCTCTGACTCCAGTGCCCTGCTCCTTTTAAACCCATGGAACCCTTCGATTCCCAGCATTACTCGGCACCTCTTCGCGAGGTCTTTTCAATAAAAAAAAGCAATAGTTTCCTCCCCAAACGCGAAATTCGGTACATTCCACAGGTGGTAGATACCACATACATGTTGCGGATTGAATGAACACTTCTAACAACTAGAACATTCCTTGCGGATTGAATGAACACTCTTAGCAACTAGAAATCGCTAGATGAAATCTTGCTGCGAAACAAGGCCAGATCTCGCAAACCATGTGGTTTGCAGGCGGTAGTTACTCTGTCAACGTCGACTACGAAATCGATTTGGCCGTACTCGATAGCCTACCGATATGAAAATTAAGGACTTTTTCACGTTCTTGCTTTCGACGCTCTGCAACAAAACACTTCCGTGGACATTGCTTTCTGTGCTACTAGTGCTACGATTGATCGACGTCTTACTAGTAATACTTCGGCCTTCAGTAAGTTATACAATGCGCCAGCAAGTACATGCTGCATTTATCTTTGCTTATATTTCTTTCTTGATAAATCACAACAATAATCATATGCCAAAAAATCAGTGGTTACTGAGAAAATCTGTAAAGAAATCCATTACCCTATAAAGATGGGGAGTTTGCCTCTGATTTGTGCAAGAGAGAAAGCGGTCAACAAAGGATTTCTTGGCTCCCTGTTTTCGGCTATTTCGTTTTTTGCATGCCCCACGTCAATGAACTGGTAAATTTCTGTTGAACAATGGAGGTCAAGGCGCTTTCGAAAACCACCATTATCAAAGACTTGGGGTTTGAAGACAAACTATGCGCTTATTTCAGGGGATTCTGATCTTTGCCAAGAGCGAAGAGAACTTGTTTCCAGAATGTGGGAGTGCGAAGCTTTGTTCCTCGATAGTGGAAGCTTCATAGCGCCATTTGTGTCTCCGTTTGTAGTGAAAGCACGTAGGCACGCAACATGCAGCACTGCGTACGACTTGAGCTTAAAGACAGCTCCCGCGATAAAAGTGTCAAGGATAATTGCTGATCAATTATGAAACAGTAGCTGATAAGTAATTCCTCAATGAAGGAAAAAAAACCCTCAAGAACACCACAAACAAAATTGCTCCCTTACAGTTACACCGCCCTGCGGTCCGTGGGCAACCCCTGGCTCACAAATCGCTTTATGGCATTTCCCAGTAGTGGACAACATCCAATTCAAAGAAAAGTTGAAAAAAGGAAAAATTCAAAAACCTGGCGTCCGAATTTGGGGTTACGTGCAGTGTGCAGCTTTTGGTGCATGTCGAGCTTTTGCACCACAGAAATTGCATCATTCGTGATTTTTACGCGTTTTACCTTACGAGATGGGTTGCAGTTGACTGTATGTGCTCCCAATGAATAAAATGTGATGAAGGAGAGCAGAATTATTTATGGGCACGAGCGCGGTCAGCAAAAAGTACATGCAGTTCCGATTAATGCCCGCCGTCCCAACAAAGAACAACTGAGCGGCTCTCCGTCAGAGGGCAGCTAGCAAGTGGGCGGTCCAACTGGGCGGGCGTTAGAACTAGAACTTTGAGCGGCTGTAGCTCGCTCCTCGCTCACTGTGGAGTCGCGAGAGTGGGACAGTATTGGGGGGTGAGCCACACAAGGAAGGAGGACCATGTACTACTTGAGCAAGGGGGCTGTCATTAATTTGCACTCTCTCTCGTTATTATGGCCTTCTACATCCATTGTGGCCTCACAAGTTCCAGCTTTTCGCAAACGAGCTCAGCTGGTAGGCTCAACCACTCCGGAGCCCTGTCCCTTTTTTTGAAAAAGTCTATAACCCTCGCGTCGGTTTCGTGCTCTGGCAGCCGCTACCCTTTACCAGTCTGCGTTAGATGGTTTCGCAACAGAACTATTCAAAATGCTACGTAACCGGCATGACGAGCTACAAAGCCACAGCCGTAGTTACCTGTCTGCGCCCACCTGCGTTTTTCTCTGCCTCACCGGTTTTGATAGCTGGATGCCTTTTCGGATTTCCGACATTATCCAGAACATGCGAAACTTGCGTCGAAACAGAATTCTCGCAGCTCGTGGACAAGCTGCGAATGTAGGCGACAGAATGTAGCGAACAACTAAGAGTGCCCGAATAAGTATAGTGTTCAACTATAGTCAGGCACACGCCTGTCGCGCAGCACTTGCTTGGCCGAAACATCATCTGGCTATCAGCTAAATCATAGGCTTAGCTACATACGTTTGTGGAAGCGACTACACCTCGCTGTTGCTCAGTTATCAGGGATTCACATCGGTCAATGTGAATGTGAGTGCAAAGTATAATATATGTAGTATATCTATTAAGTTGCCCGGAAAGTTCTCAGCTGTGCACCTATTTTTTGTACATTCACTGCTGATTAAAAACTCATTCTGCCTTGCTTCTCAGTAGCACATCCTGTAGAGAATTTCTTGCGCTATCTGATGGTATAATTGCCGTTTCACCATTGCTTGATAAACCCCCTTTTTTCAAGATTTTTTCAAGCATGTGAAAAGAGCACTTCGGACGATTTTTTTCTTCGACTATAAATTGGGGCAATCCGCAATCGAAACAGCTCAACAAATTAAACAGGTGTGGGCCCAATAGTGCTAGAGAAAGCACTGTGCGGCAATGGCTCAACAAATTTCGTTCTGGAGATTTCAGCCTTGAAGATGAACCTCATAGCGGTCGACCTAAAGCAATATCTGACGAGGATTTTAGGGGGATTTTGGAGGCTGACCCATCCCAAACAGTTCGAGAGATAGCAGAAGAGCTAGGCCTTGGCAAATCCACTGTTGCAGATGGTCTGGAACGCATTGGGAAGGTGAAAAAACTCGACAATTGGGTGCCCCACAATTGAGTGACCGGCAGAAATTGGCACGTCTCGAGGTTTCTCTTCACTGCTTTTGCGCAACAGAAACGACCCGTTTTTGGACCGAATTGTCACCTGTGATGAAAAGTGGGTCA